TTACAATACTGATTATCTGTGTTTCTAACTATCCTGCATCCTCTCAGGGTAAATAAGGATGTTAATAGCTTACAGCATTATACCACTGTAAGCTCATAGAGGTCAGTATATTATAAATTATTGTCAATGTTATAGGCATCCAACCTTTACACAGATGTCAGAAAGGAGGCAGATGAAATTCTGACTTAGTATAAAATCTAACAATCTTTGTAAGCAGAATGGTTAAATAAATATTTTTCCGTTTAGCTAACATAGCACATGAATCAGTTGAATTTACCTGAGAAAGTGTGGAGCTCACTGAGATTGTGTCTTGGCATCGCTGGAATATTGCAGTAAGTGCAAAATGCTTCCCAAAGGACGCTGCTTTTTCACAGCCCAGGCTGGAGAAACCAACTTAGTAGCAAATTGATCTACCTGTTAAACAAGAAAATTAAACATGGAGCGGAGGAAATGTCTGTCAATGTTATAGACCAGAGCTCCTGTAACAGCCAACCCTGGCTCAAGGTCCTAGATGATCCCAGTGGGCTTCAAAACCCACCGTGGGTGATGTGCAGAGGCTTCAGGGCAGTTAGGACGAGAAGACCTGGCATGCATGGCAGTGTAGCAGGAAGGAGTTTAGCTTTCTATTTACCTTCAACTGAATCCACCTTGCGTGTAAAAGCCCACTTTTCAGTCAGCTGCATTCAGAGATCTGATGCTGGATAACAGCTTCTTAGAAGGAATGTTCTTATTTTTTTGAAAATCTGAAACACAAGAAAAGTATTATTCTAGTATTATTCTTGGGCACCAAATAAAGACCTGGTAAAAATCCTTATTGCCACAGAAAGTCATCAACTTCTGACATTATGAGAGGTAGAACTTGGAGGCAGCAAACACTGTGCAATAGTACATCAACATTCTGATCTCCTTGCAAGGAAGTTTCCCGTTGTAGACTCGGCTAATTGTTATACTCTAGGTGAAGACCACCTGGAGGGAAATGTCTACACAGCAACTCATTTCTTCTACTAGAAGATGTCAAAAGTAGAAGCTGGTTAGTCATAGCGAGATTGCTGTCACCAGCGAACATGTCAACTGAGTCATACAGGGAATATCCAAAATGGACTTTTCAGAAATTGAAAGTGTTACTTCTCTTGATTAGTAGTGCAGGAAGGGGAGAATAGCTATTCCTTGATTAATGGGCAAACACACCCTTTCCCAGAGACTCAGACAGTTGGAGAAACTCATGAATGAGTAAGTCAGAGAGGAAAAAAGACAGTGCTGATATAAACAAGAACCGTTTATTTTCTCCTTGTTTCCATGAAGAATGCCTTTTTGTTTGCAGATCCTCACTACTGCGGCAACCCAGAGAATAGAGGAAATTATGCCAATAACTAAAGCAAAACCTGAAGATTTCTTAAAAGTACCTAATTATGGTTTTAAAAAATTCTGCATCTCGATTTGCTGGAAGTTGAGACCCAGGTCTTTTGCAAGACTGTGAAATGAAAGACATTTCTAACAGCCTTCCCTGGACCAACCCATCCTCTCCAATTTCTGTCCCTTCCTGTCTTTTCACTTCTGGTCATGCCTCCTTGGTGTACATTCAGGCTCATGATTCTCGGATTCTCCACCAGAACATACCTCTTCCCCCAAGGGCGTGCTAAATAGCTTGATACTCTGGCCAGTAAACAATTTGAAACCCTCCATGTGTATTTCATGGCAAAGTGGCTTATGGACAATTGGAATTTCAGTTTAAAAAATAAAGCATATTTTTCAAGTGAATTCTGTTTGGTGATGTGGCTGTCGATTTCGTTGTAAAATCAGAGGTGGGAACCAGGCTGAAAGACAAGCCGAGGGAGAGACTGTGCCGTGCAGCAAAGTGCACAAAACTTCAGTGCATACGGCTTGGTGAATTTTTGGATACGAATTCACCTGTGTAACCACCATCTGGAGCAAAATGATGAACATTTAAAGCACCCCAGAAGATTCTATCATGCTTCCTCCTAACCCTAACCTCCTTCCGCCTGAAGGTAATCATGATCCTGATTTCTATCACCAGGGATTCATTTCACCTGTTCTTAAACTTTATGTGAATGGAACAATACAATATGTACTCTCTTGTGTCTTTTATGTGTGTGAGATACACTCATGTTGTTACATGCAGCTACGGTTTGTTCTTTTTCATTGCTATGGAGTATTCCATTATATGCAAATGCTTCCATTTCCATTCTGTTGCTTTGGTTGTTACAAAATATGTCATTTCATGGACATGTGCACTTTAAAAAAATAGACTTTATAAGCCAGGCACCTGTAATTCTAATACTTTGGGAGGCCGAGGCAGGCAGAACTTGAGGTCAGGAGATTGAGACCATCCTGGCTAACCCGGTGAAACCCTGTCTCTACTAAAAATACAAAAAATTAGTTGGGCGTGGTAGTGGGCGCCTGTAGTCCCAGTCACTTGGGGGGCTGAGACAGGAGAATGGCGTGAACCTGGAATGCAGAGGTTGCAGTGAGCCAAGATTGCACCACTGTACTCTAGCCTGGGCAACAGAGCAAGACTCTGTTTAAAAAAAAAAAAAAATAGACTTTATAGAGCAGTTATAGGTTCACAGCAAAATTAATCAGAAAGTACAGAGTTTGTATCAACTCCCTGGCTCCACAAACATACAGCCTGGGCCGCTATCAACATCTCCCTACAGAGTGCTACATTTGTTACGATCGATAAACCTTTATTGACACATTGTTTTCACCCAAATTGACCCCTTTCATTATGAAATGCCCCTCCAAAATCCCTAACAACTCCCGTGCTCTGAACTCTTCTCTTTCTGAAGTTAATATCATTATTCCTGCTTTCTTTCTATTAGTGTTGGCACAGTGTATCTTTCTCCATCCATTTACTTCTAATATATGTGTCTTTATATTTAACATGGGTTTCTTGTAGAGAACATATAGCTGGGTCTTGTTTTTTGATGTACCCTGACAAGCTGTCTTCTAGTTGATATATTTAACCATTGACATTTAAAGTAATTATTGATATAGTTGGATTAATATCTACCATATTTATTACAGTTTTCTATCAATTGCCTTTGTTTTTTGTTTCTATTTTTGAATTCCATTCCTTTTCTGCCTTTGGAGGTCATAATTGATAATATCAGATTATTCCATTTTCTTTCCTTTCTTAAGATACTTTTTTTGTTGCTTTTTTAAGTAGTTGCCTTAGAGTTTGCAATATACATTTACAACTAATCTCAGTCACCTTTCAAATAACGCTATATCCCTTCATAGGTAATGCAAGTACTTTATGACAAAAACAATCTTATTCTTTCCTCCTGTCCCTTGTATCACTGTTGTCATTCATTGCACTTGTCCATAAGCACACACACACACGTTGTATTCATTTACGTATACGCAAGCACACATAATCAAATGCATTGTCGCTACTATTATTTTGAAGAAACTGTTCTCTGTTAGATCAATTAAGAATAAGAAAAATCAATGTTTAAAAGTTTCCTTCACTTATTCCTTCTCCAATACTCTTCTTTATACAGATCCCAGTTTCTGACCTGTAGCGTAGTCCCTCTCTCTGAAGAACCTCCCGTAATATTTCTTGTGAGGCAAGTCTGTTGGCAGTAAATTCACTCAATTTTTGTTTGTCTGAGAAAGCCTGTATTCCTTCTTCACTTGTGAAGAACAGTTTTGCAGAGTAGAGAGCTCTGTGTTGGTGGCTATTTTCTCTCAACACATCAGATATTTCACTCTACTCTCTTCCTGCTCGCATAGTTTCTGAGGAGATTATGACATAATTCTTATCCTTGTTCCTCTGTAGATAAGGTGTTTTTCTCCTCTGGCCTCTTTCACATTTTTTTCTTTATCTTTCATTTTCCGCAGTTTGAATACGATCTATCTAAGGTGTGGTTTTTTGGCATTAATCCTGCTCAGTGTCCTCTGAGTTTTCTGGATCTCTGCCTTGGTATCTGACATTAATTTAGGGAAATTCTCAGTCATTATTGCCGCCACTATTTCTTCTGTTCCTTTCTCTCTTTCTTGTTTCCATTATGCTAATGTTACACAGAGTTCTTAGATATTCTGGGGTTTTGTTTGTTTTTTGTTTTTGTCCTTTTCCTATGACTTCTCAATTTTGGAAGTTTCTACTGACAAATCCTCAAGATGAGAAATTCTTTCGTCATCTATCCAGGATGATGGGCTCATGAGTCATGAGTCCATCAAAAGTATTCATTTCTGTTGCAGTGTTTCTGACTTAGTATTTTTATTCTTTCCTAGAACTACTATCTTTCTGCTTACATTACACATCGATTCTTGCGTGTTACTGAGTTTTTTCATTGGATCCCTTAGCGTATTTATCACAGTTGTTTTGCATTTCCAGTCTGATAATTCTAACATTCCTGCCATACCTGAATTGATTTGGATGCTTATTCTGTCTCTTCAAAGTGTAATTCTTGCCTTTTAGTATGCCTTGTAATTTTCTGTTGAAAGCCAGACCCACCAAAGCTCCTGGATTCTCATGTGCATAGACCCTTAGGAGCCCAGCCAGGTCTCCTGACAGGTCTGAGTGTGGCCAGGTCTCATGGTGAGTACAGTCCCGTCACCAGTGGAGGCTCTGCTATGCTTAAGTATATCACAGGCACAGTTACAGAATTTCAAGTTTTAATTCTATGGAGTTTTATTGAACAGAAAATATCAGAGATGGGAATTGAATACTTTTTGTCATGGCTACAACTTTTTTTTCTAAAAGCCAGTGAGAATTTGCAGTTCACAAAGACCCTCAAGCCAAAATTTAATATTGAGTGACTGTCATCAGCTCCTGACATGGAGGGCTGGTTATTGTGAAGCCACAGCTTGATAAAGGCCTTTTGATAATAGAAACTGTCTTCTACCTTTGTTACGGGAAAAGGGTCCTGATCCAGACCCCAAGAGAGAGCTCTTGGATTTTGTGCAAGAAAGAATTCCAGGCGAATCCATAGAGTAAAGTGAACAAGTTTATTAAGAAAGCAAAGGAATACAAGAATGACTACTCCATAGGTTGCCCATTTTTATGGTTATTCCTTGATGATATGCTAAACAAGGGGTGGATTATTCATGCTTCCCCTCTTTTAGACCATATAGGGTAACTTTCTGACGTCGCCATGGAGCTGGAGCTGGTGGTGTGATGGGATCTTTGGGGTGTTGCTTTTCTGTCTGGAAACCTCCATGCCGGTGGGGCCTTTGCCCGAGTTATTGTCCTGGATCCAGGAAGAGTGAGGTGTGCAGATAAGTGGAAGATGAACAATATGAAGAGATTTACTGGGTGTTGCAACAGCTCAGAGGAAACCCACAGTGGGTAGCTCCTCGCTGTATGCAGGTCATCTAGTGGAGTGTTCAGCTCTCAGCAGAGAGAAAGCCCTGGAGAGGGCGGCTCCTCTGCACAGACAAGTGGTTTGGACGTCGCTGCAGGTCTCCAAAGCTCTCAGCAGGGAGGATAGCTCCTCTCTGCCAGCAGGTTGTCTTGTCAGCAGAGAAGGTAGTTCCTCTCTGCAACTGGTCACCTGGGGGCCTCTCCATCCTCTGTTCTGCTCTGGCTGAGCTGGGGGCTTTTATGGCCTTCAGAGGGGAGGAAGTGCATGCTAATTAGTTGGTGGGTGGCCACAGGCAGCCTGGAAGAGGCACCCTGAGTCCCCGCTCTGGTCCTTGGGACTGGCAGCCAGGCTCCCAGCATACAGGCCCTCCCTGGCCTGAAGGAGGGGACTTACTGGGGACCACCCACTTCCGCCCAGGAATCTGTCCGCTTCCCGCTGCCATTCATGGTCCTGGGCCTTGGCCTCAATCCCCCTCTGAGATCAGAGCAGGCACCGGAAGAGGAGAGAGGCCAGGCACCGGTAGCAGGCACCCCCAAGACTGCAGGGATGAGGGTGGGGAGTGGGGGTGGAGGGGCATGTGGTGGGGGGAGTGTGGGCCTTCCCAGGTCCCCCGAGGATGCAGGCTGCAGAGGTGCCCGGTTCCTGCCCCTAGGAGGGCTGCTGCAGCTGCATCCAGCTTCTTTATTGCAACCTGTTTTATCAGCAAGGTCTTTATGACCTGTGTCTTGTGCTGACCTCCTAATCTTACCCTGTGACTTAGAATGCTTTAACCTCCTTGGAATGCAGCCCAGCAGGTCTCAGCCTCGTTTTACACAGCTCCTATTCAAGATGGACTTGCTCTTGTTCAAACGCCTCTGACATCTTTGTGCTGATAAAAATACATATTTTTGGCCGGGTGTGGTGGCTCACGCCTGTAATCCCAGCACTTTGGGAGGCCAGGGTGCATGGATCACGATGTCAGGAGATCGAGACCAGCCTGGCCAACGTGGTGAAACCCCGTCTCTACTAAAAATACAAAAATTAGCTGGTGTGGTGGTGTGCACCTGTAGTCCCAGCTACTCGGGAGACTGAAGCAGGAGAATCCTTTGAACCAGGGAGGCAGAGGTTGCAGTGAGCCGAGATCGCGCCACTGCACTCCAGCCTGGCGACAAAGCAAGACTCCGTCTCAAAAACAAACAAAAAAATTAAAAATTTAGTTTCAAATGCATAATAATTAGTGGATCTTCTATCTTTAATAAAGCTGGAACAAAACCTACAAAAATCAATCATTATGCATCTTTGAACTATAGAAAATTAGTTTTTGAATGTTGAAATCGAATCTTAAGCGTTTCAGCTGGTCTTTTTCAGCATTTCAATACCTTCTAGCACAGGTTTCCCAAAGTGAGCTCTAAAACAGAGGTTCTCAAACAATAACACCAACCTGGGGATCTTGTCAAAACGTGTATTTTAATTCATTAGGTCTGGGGTAGGGCCTGAGATTCTGCATTTAACAAGCTCTGAGGAAACGCTGATGATGCTGATCCACCATCACAGATTGAGGAGCAAAGCGATGAGCCCCCGTTATTAGGAAAATACAGCCGGGAATAGCTAGGTGTGTGTTGCAACGGGAAAAGCAATGTCTGTGTCAAATGACACTAGTTCAATTTTAAGTCCTGCCACTTGCTAGCTGTGCAGTCTTGAACACATTCAGGCGATGATTCTGAGGTTCAGTTTTCTTGTCTGTTAAATGTGTGCATTACCCGCCTCACTGGCTCAAAATATAGTGGAGTTTTTTGTTTTTTTTTTTTTGAGACGAAGTCTTGCTCTGTTTCCCAGGCTGGAGTGCAACGGCACAATCTCGGCTCACCGCAACCTCAGCCTCCCAGGTTCAAGCAATTCTCCTGTCTCAGCCTCCCGAGTAGCTGGGATAACAGGCATGTGCCACCACGCCCGGCTAATTTTGTATTTTTAGTAGTGACGAGGTTTCTCCATGTTGATCAGGCTGGTCTCGAACTCCTGATCTCAGGTGATCCACCCGCCTCGGCCTCCCAAAGTGCTGGGATTACAGGCGTGAGCCACCGCGCCCGGCTCTAGTGGAGTTTCTTCTAACTTAAAAGTTAGATTCTAAGTAAATGTATAAGGCAGAAATAGATGTATGTGTATGGTATATGTATATGTACATGCTTGGAAGTACCTTTAAATCTTCTGTTAAGTATATGATTTTAACAAATCCAACACAGGTAGGTAGAGACTCCGCATTATTATCTAGACAGTAATCTGTTCCTGGACAGCTGGCATCATGGTTTGTTGGAACATTTTGCAGTCCTGGTGAGGTTCAAATTCCCTTCCATCACCAAGAAGGGGTGGAGAGGACAGTAATTGTTCAAATCCCTGAAGGATTGCCCTCTGATTCAATTCCATTGAGCAATTTCAAATTAACTTCCAAATCTGTTTGTGTAAACTGTATCCTTTTTCAGAAAGAACAATCTACCACATTCACTTATAAACAGAAACTTAAATTACAACAGATCTTTCCCTTTTTGAAAAGGTTCTTGAATTCATTGACAGACCTTTGGCTAAACTGATGAATTAATTTGTTCAGGCCAGATTTCATAAATCCTCTAATAATTCTTCCCTTTACACATATTGACTTGATTTTTCAGATCCACAGCATGTGGTTTAAATGTTTGAACCATTACTGCTTTAATCAACTAACATTTATTTCAAGGTTGGATGACGACTGACCATTGAAAGATATAGCTGACTAATAAAGTCCAGTTTGCCAGTTAAGTAAACCTGAGTATCTAAATAATAAGTAGAAATCAGTCTGTGTCACTGAATTTTGGAATGTTTGGCAGCTTTAATGTAACTGTTTCTCTCCCAGGACTATGTGGAAGATCAATCCCTGGGTATTGCTACAAAGCTCGGGCATGCATGTAGATGCCATGCTTAGATGTAGCTAATTGAGCTTGGCTATACACACACCAGCTTTTAACTATACAAGTAGATCTGTTTATGGTGTGTTAGACTCTGTTTAAAATTAATACATGAAAGCTAAGTACCAATTTAGCATGGTTCAAATCAGGTTTTAATACAAAATTGAGCTGAGCTTTTCAATTTTATTTTTGTTAACTCACGGCACTAAACTTGAGGTGAACCTTGCTTACCATAAATAAGTTTAAACTCAAGTTTGGTAAAAAAAAAAAAAAAAAAAAAAGTTCAAAGACTATATATAAAGCTTTTTAAGAGTATCAGTTAGAAAACTTTATTTCTTGAGTCCAATGAGCTGAATATCATCGGTGTTCTTTGGTGGTTAATTATCACAGGGCCATGAGAGAAACTCAGGGGATCACTTACTGGTTATACCAAGAATGGATTAAGTTGGTTATTTTCCTTTCTGATATGAGTCATATCAAAAAGTCATGTCAGAGTCTAGGATTCCCATTAGAATATTGAGGTGAGAGTCATCATAATTGCAAGATAAAATGCCTTCTGTGCATTGGGAAAGCCATTTGATTATGACCCTCTCAATCTTAGACTGGCTAAGCATAAGATAAAGGATAAAACACACACAAAACAGCATCAGAATTACCTGGATGCTAGTTAAAACACAGACTGAGACAAGGGTGCCAAAATCATTCAATGGAGAAAGGTCAGTCTTTTCAACAAATGGTGGTGAGAAAACTAGATATCCATATGCAAAAGAATGAAGTTGGACTTTTAACCTCATATCGTATATAAAAATTAACTCAAAATGAATCAAGAACCTAAATGTAAGAGCATAAACTGTAAAACTCTTAGAGGAAGACATGGGGGAAATCTTCATGACATCAGACTTGACAATAATTCCTTGGATATGACACCAGAAGCACAGGCAACAAAAGAAAACATAGAGAAGTTGAACTTCATCAAAATTAAAAATTTTGCCTATCAAAAGTCACTATAGGCTGGGTGTGGTGGCTCATACCTGTAATACGAGCACTTTGGGAGGCTGAGGCAGGAAGATCACCTGAGGTCAGGAGTTTGAGACCAGCCTGGCCAACATGGCAGAACCCTGTCTCTACTAAAAATACAAAAAATTAGCCAGGCATGGTGGCAGGCACCTGTAATCCCAGCTACTTAGGAGGCTGAGGCAGGAGAATCACTTAAACCCAGGAGGCGGAGGTTGCGGTAAGCTGAGATTGGGCCATTGCACTCCAGCCTGGGTGATAGAGCGAGACTGTCTCAAAAAAAAAAAAGTCACTATAAAGACAGTGAAAAAAATAACTCACAAAATGGGAAAAAATTGCAGATCATCTATCTGATAAGAGATTAATTCCAAAACATATGAAGAACTCCTACAACTCAACAGAAAAAGACAAACAATCCAATTCAAAAATGGGATAACTTGGCTGGGTACGGTGGCTCACCCCTGTAATCCCAGTGCTTTGGGAAGCGGAGGCGAGTGGATCACTTGAGCTCAGGAGTTTGAGACCAGCCTGGCCAATATAGTGAAACCACAGCTCTACTAAAAATACAAAATTAGCCAGGTATGGTGGCTCGTGCCTGTAGTCTCAGCTACTCTGGAGGCTGAGGCAGAAGAATTGCTTGAACCCGGGAGGTGGAGGTTGCAGTGAGCCAAGATTGCACCATTGTACTCCAGCCTGGGTGACAGAGCCAGAGTGAGACTCCATCTCAAAAAAAAAAAAAAAAAAAAAAAAAAAGACAACTTTAACAGATATTTCTTCAGAGAATATATACAAATGACCAAGAAACATATGAAAAGAAGCTCGATATCATTAGTAAAGTGCAAATCAAAGCCATAATAGGCTGTAACTTCACATCCATTAGGATGGCTGCTATCAAAAATGTAGAAAACAGCAAATGTTGGCAAGGATGTGGACACATTGGAACACTTATGTCATGCTGGCAGGAATGTGAAATGGTGCTGCTGCTGTGGAAAGCAGATTGACAGCTCCTCAAACAGCTAACAGAGAATTATCCTGTGATCCATCAATCCTCATTCTCAGTTTATACTGAAAAGAATTGAAAGCAGGGACTCAAGGAGATATTTGTACAATGTTTGTAACAGCATAATTCATGATAGTCAAAACGTTGAAACAACACCAATGGCCATCAACAGATCAACAGCTAAACAAAATATGGTATATACATACAATGGAATATTATCCAGCCTCAAAAAAGAGTGAAATTTAGTACATACTTCAGTCTAGATGAGCCTGAAAAAAATTATACTAAGTGAAAAAAAAAAAACAGATACAAAAAGACAAATATTTTATGATTCCACTTATCTGAGGTACCTAGAACAGACAAAAATTCACAAAGACAAAAGGTAGAATAGAGGTTGCCAGGGACTAGGGACGGGGTTGGGGGAGTGGGAAGCTATTGCTTAATGGGTATAGAGTTTCTGTTTGGGATGATAAAAAACGCTCTGGAAATTAGTAGCAGTGATGGTTGCACAATATCATGCATATATGTCAAACTACTAAATTGTATACTTACAAGTGGTTCAAAGGGTAAATTTTATATTATGTATATTTTGCCACAATGAACACAGAGAGAGAGAGAAAGACAGACAGAGAGAGAGAGAGAGAGAGAGAGAGAAAGACAGACAGAGAGAGAGAGAGAGAGAGAGAGAGAGAGAGAGAGAGAGAGAGATTGCTGGGTCCTATTCCCAGAGTTTCGGACTCTGTAGGTCTGGGCTGGAGCCAGAGAATTTACATTTCTTTTTTTTTTCTTTTCTTTTTTTCAGAGTCTTGCTATGTTGCCAGGCTGGAGTGCAGTGGCACAATCTTGGCTCAGTGCAACCTCCACCTCCCGGGTTCAAACGATTCTCCTGCCTCAGCCTCCTGAGTAGCTGGGACTACAGGCGCCGCCACCACCAAGCCCAGCTGATTTTTGTATTTTTAGTAGAGGCGGGATTTCACCATGTTAGCCAGGATGGTCCTGATCTCTTTACCTCGTGATCCACCCACCTCGGCCTCCCAAAATGCTGGGATTACAGGCGTGAGCCACCGCGCCCGGTTCGAGAATTTACATTTCTAACAAGTTCCCAGGTAATGCTTATGCTGCTGGCAGAGAAACCACACTTGAAGAAACCTCTCCTTTAGAAAATAGTTCTTGTCTCCCAAAAGGAGAAGGAATGCAAAAGACGATTTTAAAGAAAGCTTCCAAATTGCGGCCAACTCTGATAGAAGGTCATTGACACTTGAAACTCAGCGCTGAAGAGGATGCTATAGTCATGCCCAGGCTCAATGGGAAGGAGCTCCAAGACGAGAGCGGCTGACATACCACGGGACAGGGGGAGGAACTGACAACACAGATCCACATATTTATCATCCACAAGGTTGGCTGGTCTTAATCTTGTGCTTGTCATATTCATTTTATAATATAATCACATTCGTACACTTGACTTTAATTTACATCACAGAGTTATATGTCTTTGACGCAAGACTTCAGCAAAATGGCCCAGCCAGGGTGTCAGGGTTTTCTACCCATGGAAGAGGAGAGGATTGGAATGAAGAGAGGAAGGCACAAGGGAGAAAGCTGACATATGGAATCAAGTTGGAGAAAATAGTGGGAAATAGAAAAGTGTGTGCAAAGATTTCTTGTGAATTCGTGAGTACTCAATTAAAAGCAGACCAAAACTTGAGAATTGGGTTGAAGGCTAAGGACTGTGAGGGGAAAGGGTGGACAATGCATTTGCTGGCACCAGCTCCGTCACTGGCTCAGAGTCTCCTAGGCATGGCTCTTCTCAGCAAGCTGTGCTGGAAGCCTGGATTACATCTGGAATTCAAGAACTCTCCCTGTTTCAAATACAGCCGAGAGAACACAGGTGGTCCACAGGCTGCATTTTTGCCACCCACAACTTTGGACCACATTTAGAGGAGCCAGTGAAAGAATCAGTCTGCTGAGTCAGAATAAAAGTCAACACTTTAAAAGCTCTTATCCAAATAGGCACTCATACATGTTGCCATATGAAACATGCAATCTGTCCCATTAGTAATAAACTCTTCAGACACAAAAAGCATTTGTATCACAAATTCTGTACAAGTTATAAATAGAGGGAAAAGCATCTGGGAATATGAAGTCAACAGTCCTATGTTTTGATGCTAGCTCAAGTGCAGATGAAAAACATAGGTGCTCACCTCTCAGTTCAGTTCAGTTTAACAGTGTTTCTCAAGGATCTCTCTGTGAGGCACTTGGATGCATGGTCTATAAATAAGACCAAGTCCCTTTCTTGAAAGTGCTTAAAAATCTAATGAAGGGGGGAAGATAAATACACAAATCAATAAATTCAAGACAGAGTACTGAAGATGTTAGGAGAGTAATACAAGTAAAACACTGACCAAGTTAAAAAGGACAAAACAAAACAGCAAGTAAGGTGTTAACTCCTCCATATTCCATTAGAATACTCTTAGCATGCCCAGTTCCTGATACAAAAGTAGGCATTTAATAAATGGTTCTTTGAATGAATTAAATGAGTATTATCTCTTCCCAGACCTAAACAGCCCACCAATGACCTAGCTTACAATTTATGCACTGTTAATTTGCCTAATTAGACCCAATATCTACTTCTGTGTCACAAAATCATATGATTGCAGCATTAATAGTCATGAAATTCTTTATAGACCTGGGCTTCTCCAATTGAGGACATTACAATCTACTAAATAAAGAATAACTTGAAGAGGGATTTAAATAGAGGAGGGTATTGAGAAAGTCACAAATATAGTAAAAGAGAGTTAAAATCTGCACATGGGGTTCATAGCGTTAAAGGAAATGATTTACCTCTGAAACTCATGTTTGTTTCTACCGGATGAGCAGGAAGAGATTCTGAAGAGGAAAAGATGATGAGAAGTAGGAATAACAAGCTTGGGCAAAATGGCAAGACCTCTGTCTCTTTAAAAAAACAAAATAGCTGGGTGTGGTGCGCACACCTGTAGTCCCAGCTACTCAGGAGTCTGAGGCTGTGGTGAGCTATGCTCATGCCACTGCACTCCAGCCTGGGTGACAGAATGAGACCTTGTCTAAAAAAAAAAAGAAAAAGAAAAATTATGTATAAATCAATCAGCCAAGTTTCTCTTAGCATCCAATTCATATCACGTATCATACTTGGCACACTGACCCATTTTTGTAGTTCAAGACAGAATGTTCCTGCTAATTGAAATTCTTTCATTTTGCACACTGGAGGGCCATTCCTGCAGATTAGGCTTCACGAGCTTGGCAAAATGGAGCCCATGTTGCAAAGGAAAAGCAAAAGGAGTTGAGCTGCTTAGAATTTCTTGGCAGTGGAAAATATTTTCAAAAACAAGCATCTTCTAGGCAGTGTTCTCAAAAGTTACGAGGTTCTACATATATTTTAGCAACATGCTTTTAAAGGAAAAGCCCGAGACTGATGATTTCTGTTCTACTGAAGAATACAATATATAGCTATGGCTCTTAATCTTACTGTGCAAAATTAATCTCACATTAAGCAGACACAAGAACAGGGCCAGTGAAACTGATGCAGCAAATAGTGAATAGGAGGAAATCAAGCCGTTTGATAGAACATTGTGATATAATGTTGCAATACAGGATTTCATTATCTACTTCACAGTCTTTAAAATAATAAAATTATAATTCCTTTCACTCTTCTGTATAAAGTATCTGTATTTAATGCATGACTATTTGACAAATAAGTAAATGCCTAAGTAATTAACATGCTAATATCACAGTTTACCATATAATTTATCAGGTAACAATAGGCATTCCTTCAGCCACTGACCAGGTGTTTATACCTAAGAAAATTGTGTTAGTTTCTCTGAGCTTTCATTTCTGTCTTAGTTTGTGTTTCCTTTGTGGCACACCCTGAAATAAGGACTTTATTTAGGAAGCATGCTGGAGACAGTTTGTCCTAACTGGGGAGAGCTGACAGTGCTATCCTTCCCAGGTTCAGGGATGTCCCATTGAGAGCTTGAAACAGGCCATGGTGAGAGCATAGACACCATGGAGACCAGCAGCTGCTTCCCGCAGGGGCTGTTTCTATCCCACTTGTTTTTTTCCTCTGTATTTTGAGAACTGGTTTACTAGCGTGCTGCTGGTACAGGCAACTCAGCAGAGGAGTGGAGGAGTAAGACAAGGAAGGGAAAGCCTCCAGTTAGGGGACATCTTAAAGCCTGCTACCCCTAAAATTAAAGCTAGAGATTTGCTTCCGTGAAGAAACGCTGAGAAATGTTCTAGGACGCATTGCAAATTTCACCTGCCTGAGGATAGAGGGAGCTGGGGTATTTATACACCAACTGCAATCCCTTATTGGAAAGACTGCTGGGGTGGAACCGTTGATTCCCCTGGCACCTCTGCCTCCAGTGAGTAGGAGGAGTGGCCTTGCGCCTCCTAAGCAAAGAGATGCAGCTCCCATCAGCCATCAAGTGACAGGCCAGCACTGAAGTGATAGAACCAGGAGTATGGGTGGGGCACCAACAGCATCTGCTACAGTTGCTTTGCCCGTATATTTTAAAAAGTCAACCATCTCACATTAGCTTAATGGGAATATCCTAATGTAAAAAATAGATACAATTGTATTTTTTTTATAGAAAGTGAGAAAGACAGGAGAAAGATAAGAGAAAGACAAGATGTCTGTTAGTGTATCATCATCATCATCATAAAAATGACAATGATTGGCAATAACCCATTGATCTAGAAAACAAGAGGAAAAAAACTTTAACAATAGCTAACAGAAAGCCTAGTTAATGTTGTTCATGAATAGGATGTCAGCACTGGGGACCAGCAGTTTGTGAGGCCATGGAGTATACATTTTGGGGCATAGGTAAAGACTCCCACTTAAAAATGACCTCCTCCTCTGGACCATTCTGACCCCTAACGTTTGCCACTTTGGTTCCTTCACTGAGTGTGGCACGTAAAAGGCCCGTGGTGATGATGAAAGAGGTCACTTTGAAGTAATACACGAACCCACAAGCTTTACCTCGCCATGATGGTTTTGTCAGAATGCTAGGTGCTAAGAAAATGAACAACAAAGGAGGTTTTTACAGTGGGAGAAGATTGGAAACTATTCACAGCATGGAATCTTGGGTGAGGATGACTGACAGAAGTAGAGGCCAATGACTTAGCCAGGGCCAGATGATGTGACCTTATAAACCGGACAGAATTTAACTCAGATTTTATCTTCTTAGATGTGACATGATCTGACTTATACCTTAAAAGGATCACTCTGGCTCCTGCAAAGAAAATAGAAAGGGCTCAGGAGTGGAGCTGGGAGACCAGTGGGAGTATTGCAGGAATCCAGGCAGGGCTCTCAGGGTGGAGACAGTGAGACAGGATAGGGTTCAGACCCTGCTGTGAAAATAGCTAGGTGGGATTTGCTGAGGGGTAGAATATGGGTTGTGAAAGGAGAAGAGAAATTAAAGATGATGTTGAGGGTTTTGGCAAAGACACTGGGTGAAAGTGCTAAACCTGCTGAAATGGAAAGATTGGGATTTGCGGGAGGATAGGGTGAGGGTGGCAGGAAACTAGTTCTGTTTTAAACATGGGAATTAGGCCTGGTGATAGAGATGTCCAGTAGCAGTGAGGAGTGGCCCACGCTTTCCTCAAACAGCTCAAGAGTTTTGCATCTGTTCTGGTGTTTCAGAGTCCAGTACTTCAGAATATGCAAGAGATAACTTTGCCTAGAATTTGCAGGAGAAGTTTTTTTTATTTTTTTATTTTTTATATTTGAGATGGAGTCTTGCTCTTGTTGCCCAGGCTGGAGTGCAATGGTGTGATCTCGGCTCACTGCAACCTCCGCCTCCTGGGTTCAAGCAATTCTCTTGCCTCAGCCTCCAGAGTAGCTGGGATGACAGGCACCTGCCACCATACCCCGCTAATTTTTTGTATTTTTAGTAGTGATGGGGGTTTCACTATGTTGGCCAGGCTGGTCTCGAGCTCCTGACCTCAAGTGATCCATCTGCTTCAGCCTCCCAAAGTGCTGGGATTACAGGTGTGAGCCACTGCACTGAGCCAGGACTTTTTTTTTTTTTTGAAACAGAGTCTCTCTCTATTGCCCACACTGGAGTGCAGGGTCATGATCTCAGCTCACTGCAACCTCTGCCTCCCGGATCCAAGGTATTCTCATGCCTCAGCTTCCCAAGTAGCTAGGATTACAGGCATGCACCACCATGCCTGGCTAATTTTTGTATTTTTAGTAGAGATGGGGTTTCGCCACATTGGTCAGGCTGGTCTCGAACTCCTGACCTCAAGTGATCCCCCCACCTCGGCCTCCTAAAGTGTTGGGATTGTAGGTGTAAGCTGCTGTGCCCAGCCCAAGACAAGTATTTTAATTGCTCACTCTTATAGACTAAATTCTGTCCTCCCCGAAATTCTTATGTTGAAGTCCTAACCCCAGTACTTCAGAATGTGACTGTATTTGGAGATACAGTCTTAAAAAGGTAGTTATGTTAAAATGAGGTCATTAAAGCTCTAATCCAATCTGACTGGTGACCCTATTAGAAGCAGATGTGAGGACACAGGCACACAGGGGGAAGATTATGTAAAGACACAGGGAGAAGACGCTGTCTACAAGCCAAGGAGGGAGGCCTCAGGAGGCACCTGCCCTGCTGACACCTGGAGTTCAGGCTTCCAACCTCCAGAACTGTGAGGAAACAAATTTCTATAATTGAAGCCACCGAATCTGTGGTGCTTTGTTACAGCAGCTGTAGCAAACTAATACACTCACTTTGGCCATTAAAAATTTGAATTCCTAAAAACTGTATTTTTTACTATATGGTATCTGTTTTCAACCAAAATAATAGTCTGTTGGAATTGAACTCTCTACTTCTACAGAACAAACAAACAAACAAACAAATAAAGGTGACCTGTTCATTGGAATTATTTGCATTTTCCATCTGAATGCTAAAGCCTCTGTACTAACAATAATTCTGCTTTTCCCATTGAGTGCTTTTTCTAATAACACTTATCCAACAAATTGATTGTTTCTCATGATAACTACTGGATTAAATTATTAAAAACCATGACATTGACATGTAGCATCATTACATAGATTTAAGCTTAACGGAAATGAAACCTAGGGCACTGTCCTATTTTATACCATAGAAGCTTGGAATCTGATTTTTATTATTCTGATCCACACTGCTTCTTCGAGTGGTATAACCAACCACATAGGCTCTGACAGAATGTTTGTATTCTGGAATTTTCTGAGATGATACAGGTTAGCCGAAGCATGAGATGAATAAATATGAAAGCATGTTTCAAAAACCTTCTCAGTAA